ACCGCCGACGGTAATAGTTCTTATCGAGCTCACCCTACACCTGCTATGCGCATTCGAGGGACGCCATAGGCTTAGCTTAGGGGGTCCGATCCTTCGCTTCCCCAAGGGTACCGAAGAAAAGGGCCGTGGATGAGAACTCGAGGTGAGCCGTTTCGGGGTCTCGAACCTCAAACCACACTATACCACCCGTCGTCGCCGCAGTTCCACACATAGTCGGCTACGGCTCCCATGGTGGGTCCCTGCCTTCGACAGTGGAGAATCATATATAAAATCTAAATACACAATTTTTACTCTTAATCGTAAAACTCTCCCACCTGTCTATTTATACGGCACTTTACTTGGACTTTGGTGTAATTCACATACACACGAGTAAAACGAATTGACTGCAACCTTAGATTTAAAATCCTGAAGAGACTACTTGACAAAAAATCTAAACTGGCATCACTCAACAAAAAAAACTATTATATACTATCCTAATCGTCCCAATTTGGGCCTATAAACATGAACTGTACAGGTCAGCCAAGCGTTTCAATCTTACCGAGTTAGGTGATTCTCGATGCATGACGGCAATTTATTGTAAATTACAAAAGCGGGAATTGCCTGTGGTCTGCGAGAAGTGAAGGCTTAACTCTGTGCATGTGTATACTACATACATGGCATCTAAGTCTTTATAAATCAGTAATCAGTAATTTTAATCTCATACATCAAAAAACGTTTAACAATAGATTCACTAATTTCGTGGTCCGCTTGACCAATTAATATATTACAATTAACTAGGTTTTTAGTTGGGATAAAAAAGTCAATGGCACGAGCGGGATTCGAACCCACGACCTTCGGCTAAATACGCCGCTGCTCTACCACTTGAGCTATCGTGACCTCGATCCACTCGGACATTAACTTCCCATCTCAACCGCACCTTTTGAATTTTCCCTCCTTTTTGCCATTTTTCAAATGTCGTGTAATCGGGTTGGATTCTCGACGACAAATGAAATGGCCTCGGAGAGCTTTACTTCATTTTTAATCATTAAATTCACTAATTTCGTGGTCCGCTTGACCAATTAATATATTACAATTAATTAAGATTTTTAGTTGAGATAAAAAGTCAATGGCACGAGCGGAAAAATGGAAAAAAGGAGGGAAAATTCAAAAGGTGCAGTTGAGATGGGAAGTTGATGTCCGAGAGGATCGAGGTCACGATAGCTCAAGTGGTAGAGCAGCGGCGTATTTAGCCGAAGATCGTGGGTTCGAATCAAGCTCGTGCCATTGACTTTTTTATCTCAACTAAAAACCTTAATTCATTGTAGTTTAATAATAGGTTTTCATTACTCGTGTGCTCCCATTGTTTCGTTTTTTCAATTACATTTTTACTTTTTTAAGTAAAAAATCGTGCAACTTTTCATAAAAAATTCAGCTGAAGTAGCATTTATGAATGCTTTGATATGAAACAAAATAAGCAAATTCTCTTCTAATGATTTAAAATTAAGTTTTGGCCCCCGACTTGCAGTTGAGAGGCTTCAATAAAATATATTTTCATCTTATAAATACAACATCTAGTTATGTACCTAAAATCCGTGTTGGTATTTAGAATAGCAGAGAGTTGAGACATTCCATTAACGGCTATGGCCTTTGATCTAGCTCCAAGATTTGCATAAAATACATGCACAGGGTGAGCTATGAACAGACATCAATACTTCAAGAGGTTATACTATCTAAAAAGCTCCTACTGTCCAAAGTCTAATTCTCAATTGTATTTGAGATATTTCACTTTTCAGTTTACTTCAACCTTTCATAACATCATATGGTCCTTTCTCATAAAATGTTAATTCTATGGTAAATGTGTTGGGATTTATGAGACTTTTGACTGTAGGGACTATTTAGCTCAATTTGATAACCGCCTAAAGTTTTGTCGTCTGTTCAGAGGACACCTTGTGTATTAACAATTTTATTTAAAATTTCAACTGACGGAAAATATAATCGGTCCGCACTCTAGATGTGTACATGTTTAAAAAGGATACTAAGTGCCTTTTCTACTTGCATACATTTGCAATGTGTTTAAAGAGGTTCAATAAGTCCGTGGGGCTTGTTATTATTATTAATCGAAAGCACATCCTGCAGTTTGAATACTTCCTTAGTACCGCTGAAAGTGTTGACACTTGCGTAGTTGAGCAATAGGATGAAATGATGCTTAAAATATAACTATTGGTTATTATTATTTAATTTTATTGTTGGTTTTACTTACCTCTTGCTCAGTTATGCTTTTCATATAGATCTAACTGGTACGATCCAATTTTAATAAAAACTTGATTGTATTCAATTCACTAGTTTCCGTGGTTCGCTTGACCAATTAATATCTTTCAATTAATTATGGTTTTTAGTTGAGATAAAAAAGTCAGTGTCACGAGCGGGATTCGAACTCACGACTTTCGGCTAGATACGCCGCTACTCTTTAGAAGTCACGATAGCTCAGGTGGTAGAGTAGCGGCGTATCTAGCCGAAGGTCGATGGTTCGAATCCCGCTCGTGACACTGACTTTTTTTATCTCAACTAAAAAACCTTAATTAATTGAAAGACTTGATCGTACTGATGTGTTGCCTTTTAGCCGATTATTCTGTAGAAATAAATCACTCTGAGACATGGCTGGATTGTATATCTGTATCTGGAGATGTCGCAAATTGACAATTTACTGGAGGCAGTTCTCGTTAGCAATTACAGGAATCGGCGTACATAATTGGCGCTGTCGGGAAACTTAGCTCTGCCCGCCGGACCGGAAGAAATTGCCAATCTCGACCCAAGGGTCGTCGAGACTTTCTCAGTCAAATGGCAACAACTCTTTCAAACCACAAATTTCAAACAACTGCTGGGGGAGGGGTTCTGTATTTGTTTAAGTAATTATTTGTTAATTAAGGTAATCCCGCCTTTTTAGACCGGTCGATAGAGCGTATAAAGTAAATACAATCAAGTTTCTATAAAAATTGGATCGTATCAGTTAGATCTATATGAAAAGCATAACTGAGCAAGAGGTAAGTAAAACCAACAATAAAATTAATTAATAATAAATAATATAGCATCACATGTCAATGCGGATACACTTACATCGGACAGACTGGAAGGAAATTAAGAGATCGATTCAAAGAACATCTTGACCCTTCAGAGACAATGACGGAAAATCAAATTACGCCACACACTTAATACACTACTACCACGAACCAAACACAATAGAAACAAGCATGACATTAATACACAACGCACAAAAAGGACGAAAACTAAACATACTGGAGAACCTCGAGGTATTCAAACAAATAACACTTATAGACGGAAAACTTATAAACGCACAAACAAACTCACAATCACACACCACCTTTACACCACTAAAAACTCTTCATAACAAAAAACGAAAACGTTCAGAAGAACAAAACGTCGCAATCAACACCAGGAAAAAACAAAAAACCAACAACGCACAAATAATAACTGACAATGGAAATAACGGCTACCAAGACCGACCAATGAGCACGGAGACCACGCCCCCTAACTCAACGCCCCCAGCGACAAGCGACGGACGCAATACTATATAAACCCTACTCAGACTGTTTTTCACTGAAGATGGCGTAATGCCGAAACGCGTTTGAATAACTCAAACAAAAAACCCGCGAGTGAAGACAGACCCAGTAGTGCCCGTGTGCCGGTTCAACATGAGTTCGCCAACCCGCAGACCAAACCCCATCATCTACTATAATAAATAATTATTTAGAAATCGTGAGATGCGGTCTGGTGTGATGTAGGTTTCAGAAAAACATTTTCTTTATCGTGCCAACGTTTCGATCTTTATTGAGATCATCTTCAGGGCCTGGGATTTACAAACATTGTTTACATATAACAATTACATTTTGGATGTGGAAAAGTGAATTTATACAATGCAAAATATATTTTTTTATTTATTCAAAGTATTTCTACTCACTCAAAGTGTTTGTCTTCTGTGTAATTGTGCCATTCTTGCGTGTCGTGTCGAGAGTGCCAGGAGATTTTGCTGTTTTATGTTTATATACGTTGGATTTTGAAGGGGTGGAGAAGGATGTCGGTATAGAAAAGACAGACACTTTTTGTATAAGGCGTCGGCTTCTTTGAGGTGAAAAGAGCCGACGAAGGGAAAAAATGTGTTGGTAATGGTTCGGCCAGATTATCCTTTCAGGATTATATAGAAAGGGATAAATAGGAAAAGGAAAGCTAAATTATTGGGAAATTACACTATGTGAAAAATATTTGATGTGTGGATTGTAATGTGATGATTAGGTATGTTATCTGTATTGAATTTGATTAATAATATTGGCGTAGCTGCGACTGAGTTTACATGTATCTGTTCTGTAATTGATGCTGTGTTTATCTCTGTTTGTATAAACCATTTCTAAGAAATTACGTTTATGTTTGTTTTGTTCTGTGTGTAATACTTTTGGATTTTTGAAGTCGAAATTGTGTTGGTGTTCAAGATGGTGGGTACGGAGTGCTGTAGGATTTTGCTTAGGTTGCAATCATAGATATGTTGCTTTACTCTCTTGTCTAGATATTGGGATGTAAGAAGTTGCCGGACAGTTTAAACAGTTGATCTTGTAGATTACGTCAGATTTATTTGTTATTGGTGTGGGATCTTTAATTTTGGAAAAAAGTGTTTGAATTGTTTTATATATATATACATTTTTTTAAAGCTATTTTGAAGGTATATAATTTCAAAATAGCTTTCAAAAATTAGTTTTTCACCATTAGACCACAAAATCGCACAACCAATTCCAAAATATTTGCTACTGTCAAATCGAAACTCAGAAGATAACGACAGATTAGTCATTTAGTTGGAAACTGGAGAAAAAACCCTTTAATTTTGAGCCAAATTTTCTGTAAATATAAAAATTAGCCAGCATTTCCGGCTGGGAGTTAATAAACGCTTTATTTCCAAAAACGACATAATTTTCATCTTAATTGAGTATTAATCAGGTTTTAATTATTTTTTACAGTGGAAAAGAACGGTGAGCTGGTGGCTAAAATGGAACAGGAACTGGACAAGACGCCGCTGAGCGAAGAACCCCATGTTAAGACGATGTTGGACATCCCGTCCAAAAACATCCACAGGGTGTTTGAACAGGGATCCAAGCAGTCACCGATGGACAACGGGGTGAGTCGATAGCGATAACAGTATCAGAGACGACCTACGGACCGCTTGTTCCCACCGGGTCATCGCAGACGACCCGACGGAATAATTGGTTATTTCAACGCCTTTCCCTCAATAACGAAATAAGATGGGGGGGGGATTGCTTTGAAAATAGGCGACACTTTTGTGCCGGCCTGATAAAATTCGAACTTTTCACCGGGGCGAAAATAAACCCCGTGATTATCCCTGGAATGCCGATGGGCGGGAGACGGAGAAGACTTGTCCGCCTGCGTTTACTCCCGACGGAATAATTGGTTATTTCAATAACGGCCTCGGGCCTGGAGATAAAAGGGGCGACGACGTCATGGCCGGATATAAAGGAAAATTTGAGGGCGAACAGTGTAGAAAAGCTTAACTTAATCAGTAATGCTTTTTATCAGCCCGCAGGACGTATAAAAGAAAATGGTAAAACCCCGGGGTCAGGAAACGCCCCATAAATTTTCCATTCGCATATTGAAAATCGGACGTGACTAATGTCATTTCGTCTCTTCCTGTTTATTGGCCTAAGCGGGAAATCGGGGAAATTTATTTCCTTTATATCCAAAGGAGGTGTGATGAAAACCTGATTGATGAAAGCAACCATCTTCCTAACGAGATCACTTTCTTTTTTTTAAAAAAAAGGACCCCCTTTATGTCCTTGTACCGCAGTTATCAAAAACCAAGCTGTAATATGACAAATTGATGTGTGCTGATAACATATTAAAACAAGTTTGATATAAAATATGGTATCATAAAGAGATCATTTTTCTGCTTTTTGGCGACCATACTGGCCCATCTGGTGTGTTTCACAATTCAATTTCAATATCTTGTGGAGTTACAATTTAATGAAAACTGTTGAATTTTCTCACTTAATTATTATTATTATTTACGACTATTATGTATACCTGTAACTTCAGTTACAATTGTAAATTTAAAATGGCAGCGTCAGTGGGCCGGGTCGTCCGAGAGGCTTTTGCGCGTCAAGAGCACGATTCGAAGATGGCCCCCCGAGAACTTGAGCCGGAAACAACGCGATTAAGAATAGGCCATACGCAGTTGACACACGGGCACCTGCTCTTGGTCCAAAGCCCGCGCAGGTGTCCCTTATGCAGAGAAAGGTTGCTCGATGTGTCCCACATACTGGAAACATGTCATGCCATGGCTCCCTACAGGGAGCGAGTAGAGTAGGGGAGATGTTGGAGTTGAACTGGAAAAAAGAGATTAGGTGTGTTCCAGACTCGATAATGGTTGCTCGAACCTGAAATAAATTTTACCATAATTTAGTTACCACCAGGGTGAGTTGAGCGATTGTGCTGAATCGTTGTGTGGTTGCAGGTTGAAATTTGGGAGAAGAGTTAAACGTCTTAGTTACCCTATGTCATAATTTCGGTTTAGCTTGAATATATGTCTTGTAAATATATTTTGTTTTCAGTTGGTTTATTTTCAGCAAGTGTGCTTTTATTTGTTTTATTTTACTTTTCCTCTACCCTTTACTATCCCCAGGTTTAGAAGTGTTGGACCCTTATTTGTCGTGCCGTCGAATGATCGACGTCACAGTATAAATGTATTTATTTGTATGAATGTAGTGTTTGAAAGGGTAAATAGAATATAGACTTAGTTGGGGGCTGAAATGGCTTAAAAAGAAATATCAAACTATTTGAACATTACTGTGGACAGTGGAACCTCACGGTTAATTTAGAAAAGTCCAAATCAGAGTGTTTAGGAGAGGGGTAGGTTGAGTTCTCTGGATCGCTTTTTTTTCAGGGGTAATCTCATCGAGATTGTAAATGAATACAAAAATTTAGGAGTCATATTTACCCCGAGATTCTGTTGAACACTTCTCTGCGAAAGCGTCAGTGGCTAAATTAGGCTTTTTTTTTTTTTGAGGTAATTCCTCTTATCTGCGTGGGTAATTTATCTAACCATAAAGTTTGTAACAAATTGTCGGAAATTTCTTTGCCTGCAAGGGCTTTCATTTTTCTTAGGAGCTGGCTAGGTTTCATATCCCCTAGATCAAGCTCAATAACTAATTTTTTTTATTTTCCTCTCTTCACTCTCTTTGAAAATTGTTAACAAGCGGTTTTTAGCCAATGTATATTTGTTTTCGTCAGTTGACGAAACGATGTCCCAGATATTTTCTACCACTTTAAAATCTAATTGGGCTATAAGATAATTGAATTTAGTTAGCTCCTGAGTCACGCCCGATAATTGGAACTGCGCTTCCACCTGGTAAAACCATATTTCTGGTTTATCAGCCCAGAATGGAGGTATTTTTACGCTGACCCTTTCTACGAAATTGGGTTTTGCGGTCGTTTGATCCGGATTATCAATTGCGTTTTCATTGTTAGCCATTTTGTTTCGTACTGGTCAAATTGAATGCTGAAGATAGAAAAGATGGGAAAGAAAAACGAAACTCACCAAGATGAAGAAAAAGAACAATTAATTGACGATTAATAACTAAAAGTTTATATACACTTTACATGTCCAAATCCGGGGTCACCAATGTAGGTTTTCAATGTTTTTAATAAGTACGCACTTCACGTTGTAAACGATTTATTTGTTTTATACGTTACAAATTTTACAACAGCCAAAGCACTTCTAACCGCCACGACTTTTCTGTTCGCCACGTGCTCTTGAGCAATGTTGCCCCACTGATATGAGTGAGAAGATAAGATAGCCGTGTCGTCGGCAAATGTAGAGATGACTGTGTCTAGGGAAGTAGAAATGTAAGCAATGTATATTGCAAAAAGTATCGGGCCAAGGATATTTCCTTGAGGACTCCAGATTTTACCGGAATATAAGAAAAGAGGTATACCTCTATAAGGTAACAAATACTGGAAAATATTCTTGAGTTTCCACAGTAAACTCTGACGAAAGTCTGCGCTACGTCTAGGAACATACTGACGCAGTACTGTTTTGGCTCTAGAAAAACGGCAGTAGTGTCCATCATCCGGTGGACTTGCTGCTTCCTCAAGAAATTAACCTTTTGAACGTTTTTGGATTTTCACAAGAACTATATTAACAATAGTAACTAGGAAGTTAGTCTAGTTCGTTACGTTCGGGATCATCCTTGTTACAGTGTACTTTCATTGAATTTCGTTTTCCAAAGAACTGAGTTGTACATGTGTACGGAGCTTAAAACTTAAATCGTACAACAATGGCATAAACTTTGTTTAGCTTGATTGAGATCAGAATCTGTAAATTTTGGAATTCCTCTAACATTTGCGTCTCACGGCGTCTGGCTTTGATCAGTAATGAGACAAATTAGTTTGAAGTATTTGATCGATTCATTCCATATTGAAAGTTTGATTCTTCCGGTCGGAGTTCGTTTTTACTAAAATTTCGACTTTTCTCGACATGAAAAAAAAATTAAAAGCCTCTCCTTCTTTTCAGTGGCTTGTTCAAACATGTGGCGCTCATGTTACAAATCCCTTTTCTGAAAGAATACAAAAAAATCGTTTATACATTCAGTCAATCGGTATGAATCCTATTTGGTGGGTGGGCTTACTGGTCCAATGTTTACTTGCCGGGGATTTGGCCAGATGACGTATTCCGATCCCCCATTCATCTTTGTGTAATTCCTGGTCGCCCGGGGCGGAGGGAGTAAAAAATTGCTTTGAAACTCCCTTTGAACGATATTATCAATGGTATGCAACAATTCAATAAGCGAATGATTGAAAACATAGCCCAGCCCATGGATTCTCCTGTTTTTCATCATCGGATTGTGTCGGATAGCTTTTTACCCTCCTACGCGCCCTTTCAAATTCTGGTTAAACCCGTGTCTGGGAAAAGGTCAAATAAAGGTTAACATAACTTTCTTGTATAGCTGGGAAATGACACTAGCTTTGTTATTTTAAATGAGAATCCCATATTTTTATTGTACAATTCGATTCTAGATCTATTTTATGTCACCTTTACTTAAATGAAGATTTTGACAGGATAGACCATTTCTGAGTTATGCCCGATGGAAGACGCATTATGGTATGCTTTTTGCAACAAGATGGCCCTCCCAGTTTATTTCGACAACGATTAGCATTAGCAACTTAATTTAGGATAGGAATCGTCTGAGAATAAGGTAGAGATCATGGGGTTGCTTTTAGACTTATATCTCTCTAAAAAAAGAACCCTTTTTACAAAAAAGAATTTTTTTATCATCATCGAGTTCATTTTATTTTTAAATTATTATTTGAAGATCGTCTGGTGTGACGTAGGTTTTAGAAAAACATTTTCTTTATCGTGCCAACGTTTCGATCTTTATTGAGGTCATCTTCAGAGCCTGGAAATTATAAATATTGTTCAAATTTTACAAATACATGTAGGATGTAAAAAAATGAATTTATGCAATGGTAGAAAATTTTAGATTGAATCAAAGTATTTGTACTTATTCATTAGAAAATTTTTATTTGTAAAATGACTCTCAGATTTGACAATTTATTAAAATTTATGTTTATAATTAATGCTCAAATACGCTCCCTGAGTAAAAAGGCGCTGTATAAAACTCCTGCGTTTTAAATCTAAAACGGGAACGACCATCTTGCTGTTACAAAAACATGCCACCTCACGCGTCTAACTTCGGGCATAACTCAGGAAAGGTTGATCTCATCAAAATTTTATTTTCAATAAAAGTGGCATAAAATAAGCTCTAGAATTGAACTGTACAATAAAAATATCGATTTTGGTTTAAAATAACAAAGTTAGTGTCGTTTCCAAGCTAGATGAGAAAGTTATGTTAGATATGTTACCACCACACGATTCCTAGTCAAAATTAACCTTGGGTGTGTATAAGACCATTTTTGATCAAGTTAATCGTTTCTGAATTAAATGTGTGTACTATAGAAGTTGATACACCCTGTATACTTTTAAATGTAAAAAATTAATTACATTGTTTATACTTTTTGCAAAGGTTTCTTAAATTGTTAATTTTTTATGTTTCTTCTTGCATCAAACGTGGCCGCTTTTTAACAGAAAGAAGGAATGTTGACGTTGGATTAGGCAAAGCCTCTCTTTTTATATGTAGATTAGATCTGCCCCAGGAGATCAAAGGGCTGATTGTCCCAACCTTTGAAAATGGTTTTCTCTTCTTTTGGGGGTTTGTTTGTTTTTAACTGTCGCCCTTAATTGTTTCAGGTCCCGCCCTACGAGGCTAACATCGGGCATTCCTACTCGCCTTCCGAAATGGCCGAGTACATTTTTTGGACCGGCGACGAACGAGCACCGACGAAAGTGATCGAGGACTTCCTGGCCGACGGACTGGTGAGTAGTCACTGTTTAAAGATTATTCAGAAATCGTGAGATGCGATCTGGTGTGATGTAGACTTCAGAAAAACGTTTTCTTTATCGTGCCGTTTCGATCTTATTGAGATCATCTCAGGTCTCAAAGTGTTTGTCTTCTGTGTGTTGAGAGTGCCCTCCACGACACGCAAGAATTGCACAATTACACAGAAGACAAACACTTTGAGCCCTGAAGATGATCTCAATAAAGATCGAAACGTTGGCACGATAGAGAAAATGTTTTTCTGAAACCTACATCACACCAGACCGCATCTCACGATTTCTTAATAATTGTCGATTAACGGTCACTAATCACCACACACTGTTTAAAAATATTGGTTTTATCTGTATAATCAATACTGACATCATTAAGGCATGGAACGGACGGATATCGTACTATGCACATTTTCCATTAGAAGTTAGCATTATGTGTGCAGTATACTAGGTTATAAAAAAGTACTAATCTTAAGTTTATTTTATTATTAAATTAATCCATATTTTCTTAGTGGTCATAATTGACAATAGTAATTTGTCCAATTAATTATTCTTTTTATCTAAGGTTTTTGGTTGAAATCCCGCTCGTGACACTAATTTTTCATCTCAAACAAAAACCTTATAAAAAGAAGAATTAATTGGTTTATTTTATTGTTTAATATTCGATTTGTTTCCCTACTTTAGATGACGAGAGACGAGGCGATCAAATTCCTCGAAGAAGTAAGAAGAAATTTGGAAGCTTTGAAGTTGGCGTACCCGGATAACTTCGACCAAAGGGTAAACATCACAAAAATAAAAACATTTTGTAAATTAATTCAGATTGTAAAAAAAGTTATTTTCCAAAATTGCTGAAGAAGCTTTAACGAAAATATGAAAAAGGTCAATGTCTATCCGAGGTGAAAACCGATACTCCAGACACAATTTCATAAAAGCGCGTAATTTTTGTGTAATGAACATCATGAAAGTCTTGAGAGCGCTGTAAAAGATCATTCCATCATCAGATCCAACTTGGAATCGGAATTAATTTAAGAACCAAAAATTATTTGATTTTACAGGCTAAAGTGAATCCGGGCTTTAATGATGGCTATCTAATATTTTCTTTCCATTAATTTAATACTTTTATATTGCATTACTGCCTGTTTTCGGTTTACTTATTTTAACAAATAAATCATTTTTAGTCTCTTTTGGATACGAAAGTAGAAGAAAGAAGATGAAATTATAAGTATCGTCGTGTTAGAAGAAAAGTTAATTTGTATAGTAAAACGATTATTTTGAGCTTTGTTTAATAATTTTGTCTATGTACATAAGAACGCTTTTAAAAGGCAAAAAGTGTCTTCAATCGCAGGTGATGTTAAACCGTTCATAGTTGGGCAGCCATTTTTCTTTGATGAAGTCGGAAGCCATCTCGCCGATGAGAGTGGCCGCGGCCAGGCTGCCACCGCCCATCGGCCTGGGCATCACACTCATATCCGCCACCCGCAGCCCTTTGATCCCGTACACCCTCAGCAGAGGGTCGACGACGGCCGAACAGTCGGTCGCCGGGCCCATTTTACAAGTGCCTCCTTGATCGTGGTTAGTGGAAGCGATCTGCCTCAGGGCACACTTCCAGTATTCCTCGCTGCCCGGTTCCAGCGAATCGCACATCTCGTAACGCAAGTGGCCGATGTACGCTCCATACTTTTTAAAAGAGTCCGTTTCCGCCAGCTTCTCGACGAAGCGGATTCCTCCGATCAGATTGCGCACGTCTTGCGGATGTTTCAAGTAGTGCGCGTGCGAAGAGGGATAGTCGTCGGGGGCGATGGACTCTAACATGATTCTGCCTCTGCTCTTGGGCCTCAATAAAATTGGGACGACCATCAGTATCTCTTTGGCGTTGTTCATTCGCTCTATCTGAGAGTACAGATATTCGGCGACACCGATCGCCCTGAAGTAATGCAGAATCGCCTCCGAGTCTCTGAGAGGGCCGTGGATGAAGTGAAGCATGATATCGGGTTCGTCTTCGTCGTCGGTGTTCACGTAGCCGACGGTCCCCGCGATCCTAGTCGACGCGAACAGCCCGGAACGCCTGGTCAAGTAGGCGTACGTCTCGTCCAGGATTTCGAGGAAGGTGCGTTCCGGGAAAGCGGGGTCGATCGTGATCGGGATCCCCGGGAACATGAGACGGTCGTGTAAATTCATCCCAACGTCCAAATCCTCGATGACCGGTATGCCTAGCCTCTTCAGCTCTTCCTCCGGACCTATCCCAGATAGCATTAGCAGCTTGGGGCTGCCTACGACACCGGCGGACACGATCACTTCACGGCTCGCGTGCGCCACCCTCGCCTTCCGTTCGTTCTTGTAAAAAAACTCTACGCCGTGGGCCCGTTTCGAGATGGGGCATATTAGAATTTTGCCGACTTGAGCATTTTTTATGATACGGAGGTTTCTTCTTTTTTTCACGGGATTCAGATAAGCTTTTGCAGTATTGATCCGCTCTCCCTCGTATAGCGTGGCGTAGTTTGGCGATATAAATCCCTCTCTGGGTATCCCGTCGAAATCGTAATTGACGGCGAAACCGAGCTCGAAAGCGGCGGATTGGATCATTTCGATCGCCCTTTTCATATGCACGGAATCGTTGACCCTAGTCAACGTAATCGGTCCTCCGACGGAATGGTAAAGGTCAAAGAGCGGATCAGCCCTCGTCTCCGGATCCGTCATGTCTTCAATTTTTTTGAAATAAGGCAGGACATCCGGATAGGACCACCCGGGGTTGCCGTCCGAGACCATGTCGTCGTAGTCCCGCCGGCACCCCCGCAGGTAGTACATGGATCCGATTGTGCTGGTGCCACCCAGGACTTTGCCGCGGGGCCAGCGGTTCACCTGGTTCAAAAAACCCCCGAACAGCCCATCTTCCTTTTCCGTCGTGTACCCCCAGTCGGTGTCCGTATTCTGCAGGTTTACGCTGTAATAAGGCACGTCGCTCCCGAGCGGGGGGTCGCCACCCGCTTCGATCAACAGCACGTTCCACTCAGCGACCTTAAACATTAAAAATCTATAAAATTAGCACAAAACAAAGCGGGAAGGCAAATAGTCCTCACCTCGGAGAGCCTCGAGGCAATCACACTCCCGGCAGTTCCTCCTCCGATTATTATAAAATCAAAGACCTGCTTGTTTTTATATTTACCTAAAAAGAAAATTTAAAACACTAAAATTGAATTAACAACAATTTTGCAAGGTTTTTAAAAACTTTTACATTTACATGCAATTTTTTGTTTAAATTAGAGACTGACAACTGTTGAATAAAAAAAACTTTATGTAAAGCATGATCCACATCCAAATATTTATGGCAAGTTAATTGCCTGAACCTTCATAACTCAGGCCTTTGCTATATAATAGTTTAATAAATTCTGGATTATCAGATGTGTAAAATTAGTAACGAGATAAAAGCATGTGGTCAAAAAGTATAAAATGAAATTGAAGAGTAGAATCGTCTTACTTCCGTAGTCTTCAGGATAAATAGAGGAAGGCGACAGGGCGCAAACAGACAATTTCAGCGTGTCGGTCAAATCGGCGAAAGAGTCGTCGGCCATCCCCATTGTTTGTCCCGGGCAAGGATTCCTCAACTCCGGGGAAGCGGCCGAGAAGACCACGTCTTTGAAAAATTCTGAAGCCTAAACTGGCAGATTACCGACTCAGGTCCGAATCCGCGTTTGACAGCGGCTCACTCACCTTTCTCCTGGGCTCGTTGAAAATTTCTTCCGGCTGATCCTGCGAACAGGAGACGCCAGGCAGCAGTCCGGCGACCGAAAGAAGCACGACGAAAGCTCCCATGAGGTTTATCCGCGATCGGGCCGATCTAAAACGAGATGAAGCAAAGATGAAGTCGAACAGAAGCTGCACAGACCCAGACAAACGTACCTTCCAGAAGAAAATCATTCTCCATCTTTCTATCTCTCCAAGCGATTGATCCAGTCAAGCTCGTACAAATATTGACATTTAAATATAAAAATATCTCTTAATTATATTTTATTCTCTACAATAACACACATTCGATTAATAACGACTTCAAAACCGGCTGATTGTCTCATATGTCAACAGGTTCAAAACGTTTATAAAAGTTGCCTCTGAGCCTCAAATTAAAATTTCGATATAGCCGGCAAATTTAAAAAAAAATTCATTTTTTCAGTCACTAGTTTAAAGTTTTACAAATCAACATATTCTCAGTACGACTAAAAATAATCCCCTGAATAAAACATGTCTGAAATTTTACAAAGAATTATTAGAAAATGAAGCCCATTTGTAAAATTAATTCAAGTATGGCCTATTATTTTTATGCCTCCTAAGGCGGCCATAAACGAGTGGGATTTCCTGTACAGACCAAGCCTTGGATTTCTTCAACGTGTGTGGCGGCATCCTTCAGGCCGCGGTGGGAGGGAGAGACCCAAAAAACCAGAACAAAAATCAAATCTTTTTCCGAATTAAAACTAAGAGCCTCTCACGGAATATCCGTGTTGTAATTGGTCTTTCTCGTGGGAGGGGGTCTTGCCTCATAACAGTATATTTCTTTAGCGATAAAAGGGTGCCCATTGAAAGAAGTCGTAAATATGTATCATGGTCCATCCTCAAGCAATTTTGGAAACTTTCAGTGAACGTGAAACCTCCAGTTCAGTAATTAGATTCTAGTGGGAATACACACTTCTCTTCAAAAGCCACCACATACCTCTTTTGCACCTTTTCTTGCGAAAGCAGTCCCATGCAATAACACAACTAAAATATCATCAACCAAACCATCAAACATGCAAAACTATTGGAACAACCAACAACCACCACCTGTCAACCCTGCAATTGGATAGGGCTAAACTCAGAGGCTAAACTAACTGATCACTGCCTTCTGAGAAAACACCTACAGAACATGGGCATATACAACGATGATACCATCTGCAGATTGTGCAATGTGGAGGAGGAGGAAACAGCCACCCATATGATCTTCGAATGGAAACCAACAGCTCGATGTAGATTCAACCTAACATGAAATTATAGCAGCAACAGTCAATGACCTGATACTGAAGAAGCATTGAGTCTATTGCACTGAACTAGGGAACTAGGAAGGTACAATAAGCCAGAATGCTACAATGCCTGGGGAGCACAAACCACGCATCCTAGTATCCTCATTACCATACCATACCATGCCTATCAATCCGGAACTAGGCCTTTGTCCTGAGGATTTCCTCAAGGACAATCCGTTTTGTTTGAATGCACAAGTTCATTTTTCCTTGAGGATTTCCTGCACTTGTATGGCTACAGTCTGCAGGGTGATGAACCCATAGTTTGATCGTTATGATCACTGTGGTCTGTTTATCCTCTACCAGACACTTTTTGGCTTCTCATCTTGACTACATTGGTTTTAAAATGTCGTTATGTTAACCCACAAAAAACATAGTTTTCTTATCCACAATATATAATGTCATCCTTCGTAACACTTACTATCCTCTCTTATGGAAATATTTTGTTGTAATTCGCATTCCTGAAGTTCACATATCTTCCAACAGACCCATCGTTCTTTAATACCCCAAATCCTTGAAAGACTCCTTTTAAAGCACTTAAGACTGATCCTAAATACTCTTAAAATCATTCCTTCTCACAAATTCAGCTTCTGTTCTCATCGTTCCATGATCTAATACGGCTTCAGAGTTGTCGACACTATCTCCTCTAGAGAATCTTTGGTAGTTTGGTACGTAGAGGTGGTACGTACATGGTAGGTAGAGAGTTTGGTACTTCCCTAGAAGTACCACTGGCTTTTAATATGGTCATGCTTTACAAACTTAAACACTTTCTATCCAATCCTTATTATCTTAAAATCTAAAATCCTACCTAACCAACAGCTACTTCAGAGTGAGGTGCGGCAACAAGTTCTGAACACTTTGACATATACAAGGTGTCGTCCCACAATGGAGCATTTGATCCCATCATTTATACTGCTGATCTACCTATACACCATAGTACCACCTATGCAGATAATACCACAATCCAAGTTAGCTCCATCATCCGAGTACACCTTGAGCTTATCGAATACTGGTGTAAAAAGTGTTAGACTGAATGAAGAAAACTGTACTGAAAAATGTACTCAGTGTTCAATCTCGTTGAAAAAACTTGCCCTCTTGCCTTCCACTGTACAAAGAGTCAACAACAAAGAGATACCGACTTCCATTCAAATCAAAAACTTAGGACTATACCAGATTGACATGGAATCCCCACACAAGATTTATGAGGCAACTTAACAGAAGGCATCTAGGACAACTACAAAGACTTCTAGTACCAAAATCCATGTTGGCCTTCAACACTATACTAATTTACTAAGACTTTACTGCAACTACTTTGGACATGAGTAGAATTGTGGAGTTCTGCAAAACCTTCCAACACCCAGCACATCCAGTCCTTCCAATCAAAAATCCTCAAACAAATCATCAAAGCTCTTTACTATGTCATTAACCTCATCCACAATGACAATGAACTGATCCATTCCTCATTCAAAAGTTTCATACTAACTTCTCAAATCCTTCCCAACCCTACTACTCAAGCCCTGTCTATACATTCCCATTCCAATAATCCATCTCATGGCTTTAATCGACAATAGTCTCGAGAGGGGCATCGGTGGCTGCAACGATTTAGCCGTTGACACGGCTCTCATCACTATAAGATAAAGGTCCTGGGTTCGAATCCAGGAGCCCTGCATTCAAACCTGACATACTTACAAATGGGCTTTTTTTCCAAAACACCGTCACCCTGAGGGTTGAGGCTACTCTGCTGTTGCAAACCCTCATAAAAAAAAATGTTTTGTATCATATTTTTAATATATAATAATATGTACAGAGCTCAAATAGAAAAATAAATAAACAAATACAATTAATACAATCTTCTATAATAATGTCATGAATAATTTATTATACTCATTAATTATACGATTACTATTCTCTTTCACTTTGAACTATGTTCGTTTTTCCACCTCTAATTTTTAAGCCAAGTTTCAACAATGTTTTGATAAAAAGCCTCACTTGTTTTCACCCCTAGTGCTTTGGTTTTTCATTTATGTTCCTGCACACTGGCTGGGTTGAGGAAGAAAAAAAAAAGCCATGAGATCAATAATGTACAAAATGTTCATGAAGCATTCTTTCATTATTTATTCCTGTGTTTTTAATATTTATTTTATTAGTTTTGCAATATCGGTGGGAGTAGAATAATCTTTATTGTATTATCGACTATGTTCAATTATTTGTATTAAATTCACTAATTTTGTGGTCCGCTTGACGAATTAATATATTACAATTAATTAAGGTTTTTAGTTGAGATAAAAAAGTCAATGGCACGAGCGGGATTCGAACCCACGATCTCGGCTTGATACGCCGCTGCTCTACCACTTGAGCTATCGTGACTTCGATCCACTCGGGCACCAACTTCCAATCTCAACCCCACCTTTTCAATTTTCCCTACTTTTTGCCATTTTTCAAATGTCGTATAATCAAGTGGTAGAGCAGCGGCGTATCTAGCCGAAGATCGTGGGTTCGAATCCCGCTCGTGCCATTGACTTTTTTATCTCAACAAAAAACCTTTATTAATTGTAATATTTGTATTAAGTTCACAAAAAATAGCTTCCGCATCTACTTCAAGATCTTAATAATAAATTTTTTTTCATTAATAGAAATTGTATTTTGGTTTGATAGGTATCGAAATTTTTTTTCCTTGTTAATCAATTATTAGGTTAGAAAAGAATTTAAATTGATTGCGGAAGAAAAGCTGTTTGGAATGTTTTTATTGTGTGTTCCACTTAATATTTACTTTCAATTACAACCAGCCTTTTCTTCAAAAGTCTTTCAGCCAACAAAGTTACTCACAATTGAGCAAATATTTGATGTCAACGGTTCGACACTCTCCGGGTGCCTGAGTAAACAACGATCAGCCTGTTTTCATTCGGTCATTTAAGTAAACTAGTCTTGTGACAATTCTATTTATTTATTTTTAAGAAGAAAACTTCATGGGGGTAAAAAATATTAAAATTATATAAACTTTTGAAGCTTACGCTTAAAATCTACCTCATTTTAAAAGATAGAACTCCATAGGTACATCTGCACATGTGTGAAATGAAATACAGACTTATTTCTTCAGCTTATATTTGAAACTAATAACCTCAGTACCTGGAAATACACTCATGGACAAATTTAGCTCACCACCCAATGTATGTTAAAATTAAATTAATTACCTTTATACATTAGTTACAAATAATTATGAGTTATAATAGTCAAAATAAATAATGTTTTGTTTATTCCTTTGTTTACTTTTGTACTGATTAATCACATTTGCACAAAAAATACCATTATGCCCTTCCATTCTGCCTCGCCTAAAGATCGCTTTCAGTTAATCTTTTCCCTCCGTTGATTTTATTTTTTTATTTTTTTATTTTTCAAGCTCCAGTCAGGCATTTGATCAGTATGACAGTGTCAGTGGTACGAAGTTACCAAGAGACTGAATTTAAGTTACTATATAATAGGAAGGACGGGGCATCAGTGGCCGCTGATATATGACCTCTGCTGTTGCGTACCCTCTTAGAAAAAAAACATCAGTCTTAATATTTTATGATGCTTAGGATAAAGGAACGCCCCTTTTATGGTCCCGCTGTATGGTCCTGCATACATTCTATAGTGGGTCATTGATGTTCTGGGGTGTCATTTCCTTTGTCACCCGCATCGAATTGGTTGTGCGAAGAAGATCTCTAACTTCATAGAGGTACTTACACAAGGCATAATCTTGTAACGCCATTTGCCCCCCACATCGGTGAGATATTCTTGCTAATGCAGTATAGTGCCAGGCCCCATAGAGGTATGGTATGGTATGGTAGAAAAGGATACTAGGAAGCAGGATTTTTAGGAAGGGAGCACTGCAGCCTTCTGGCTTATTGTACTTTCGTAGTTCCTTAGTTCCGTCAATAGACTCAATCCTTCTTCTTAGAAGTATCAGGTCATTGACTGTTGCTGCTGTAATTTGATTCCTTAAGTTTTTTCCGTACGTTAGGTTAAACCTCCATTGAGCTGTTGCTTCGCATTCGAAGATGATATGAGTGGCTGTTTCCTCCTCCTCATTACATAATCTGCAAATGGGATTATCGCTATATATACCCATGTTGTGTAGATGTTTTCTCAGATGCCAGTGACCGGTTAGTAGTCCTATCACTCCTCTGAGTTTGGCCCTCTCCAACTGCAGCAGTGTTTTTGCCAGTATCGGTGAGGGTATTTCATCATAAGTTTACTATGTCTAGCACCGCTAGAGTTTATCCACTTCTCCTTTTGTTTTGCTTGGATCCATTCTGCGATGTAGGATTCTATATTTGTTTATGTTATCCCAAGAATAGGTTCGGGGCCTGTGTATGGTCTTGCATATCCTCCTCTGGCCAGTCTGTCTGCTTTCTCATTACCCAAAATTCCCCTGTGCCCTGGCACCCAAGATATCATCAGGTTGTTGTGTTTCCTCCCGTTTTGGAGATTTTGGATGCATTCACTGACTAATTTTGATGTGATTCTTTTACATGTTAATGCTTTAATAGCTTCTTGGCTGTGTGATCTTATGAGGATTTTTTGTCAGTGTAACCTCTTTTAAGATTTTCCAGAGCACAAGCATTGATGGCATGTATTTCTGTTTGAAAGACCGAAGTGTACTTCCCTAATGAGTTTGATTGCTCACGTTTTGGGCTTGTACAGAATACGCCTGATCCGGTTCCTTCGTTTGTTTTGGTTGGAATTGGTTGTGCGAAGAAGATCGCTAACTTCACAGAGGTACTTACACAAGGCATAATCGAAGAATATGTAGTGCCATTTGCCCCCAACATCGGTGAGATATTCTTGCTAATGCAATATAGTGCCAGGCCCCATACAGGACATGGATTTCTACCTAAATGAAATTGGAATTGAGTGCTTGGTGTGGCCAGCTCGAAGTCCAGATTTAAACCCAATCGAACACATTTGTGACTAACTTAAGCGATGAGTGTGACAGCGAAACCCATTTCCTAACACCCTAGAAGAGTTGGAAACGGCTGTTCTTGATGAATGGGAAAGAATTCCTCAGAATTTTATCAGAAATCTTTTCCAAGGAACAAAAAGGTGTTTAACGGATGTGACTGATGTGATTCGTGCCAGAGGTAGAAATACTCAGAATTAAAGGGGACAAAAAGTTTTTCATAAACATTTTTAATTGTTTTATGAATTTTTTGTTTGTTTTTTACTCAATAAATGTTTTTTTTTAGAATTAGGTAATAAACTTTTTCTTTTTAAGGGGCGTCGGTGGCCGCAACGGTTTAGGCGTTGACACGGCGCTCATCACTGTAAGGTAAAGTCCTGGGTTCGAATCCAGCGGCCTGCATTCGAACCCAACATACTTACAAATGGGCTTTTTTTCAAAAACACCGGCATCCCGAGGGTTGATATAACCTCTGCTGTTGCGAACCCTCGTAAAATAAAAATAATAATCTTTTTAAATGCCTTATTTTTACAACCAAACTTATTTTTGTTATGCAAAATATTAATAAACCTAAATACATTAAAATTTAAAGGTGGCGTGATAGTTGATTTTGTCTATCAGTGTCTTAAAAAACTTTTAATATTCATAAACAAAGGTTTAAAGGTTTTGCTAAAAACATTAATGACATGTCATGGCTGTAATAAATTATTTCTTAGCTTACACTAAATACTGAATATACAGAAACCCTTTCATTGATGTTCAAGTTTCATAAGTGAAAGTTCGAGCTTTATAGGCAAATCATGCATCATTTAAGTAGAATAGTAGAATATAACAGCCCAACCGATTACATATATAAATAGATTGAAAGCATACAGAAAATAAAATTTCATTTTACTAACGATGTTTTCTTACATTTCGACCTCAACAGTTTACTTATGATTTTTCCTTCTTGAAGGTGGGATAATAGGTCATCTCAAAAAAACAACAACCAGTTTTTCTTTCAGTCCACAACGTTTTGGATTTATTTTAATCCTTCCTCAGGTGAGTTAATGCCTATACACTGAACAAATATTTCTTACATTTTTAGATATTGCTCAGAAAAACTGGTTGTTGTTTTTTTGAGATGACCTATTATCCCACCTTCGAGAATTTCATTTTATGTTCACATCTAACTTTTATATTTGTCATTTTTAACAACATTATTAATCAATAATTTTTTTAGTTTGGTTCAATAAAATCAACTTAAAATTGAATTCACTATTTTTCATGATCTGCTTGACCAATTAATATCATTTAGTTATTTAAGGTTTTTAGTTGAGATAAAAAAGTCAGTGTCGCGAGTGGGATTCGAACCCACGACCTTCTGCTTGATACGCCGCTACTCTACCACTTGAGCTCGTGACACTGACTTTTTATCTCAACTAAAAACCTTAAATAATTGAATGATATTAATTGGTCAAGCGGACCATTAAAAAATAGTGAATTTAATTAATTAAAATGAAGTATACTTCACTAAAGCTCTCCGTGGCCATTTCATTTGTCGCCGAGAATCAAATAGATTACATGACATTTGAAAAATGGCAAAAAGGAGGGAAAATTCAAAAGGTGGGGTTGAGATGGGAAGTTAGTGGCATATCAAGCCGAAGGTCATGGGTTCAAATCCCGCTCGTGACCCTGACTTTTTTATCTCAACCAAAAACCTTAAATAACTAAAATTGAATGTGCTTTCCAGGATAGGCAACTTGAAATGTTTGATAACAGGCAACAATTGCGAGATTCGATGACAAAGAAGGCCGACTATCAGGATCAGCAAAGTAGGCCATTTCTGAATTGGTTCTTGCGACGGTTTTAAAACATTAATTTTTTTTTAAATTGTGTTGTCTAGTTCCAATGGGAGAAGAAGACTACGAAGAGATTATGGAGCGCATGAGGTTGACGGATTTGATGTATAACGAATTTTCCTTAGAAGAGATTGTCTACCAACTGGCAAAGATCATGTTCCGTCAAGCGTTGACCAGGGGTAAGACACTTTTTTTTCCAGTTTGTCTTGGTCAGTCTCAAAACATTGCATTGCAGGAAGCGAAGAGACCAAGGAAGCACTGCAGGAGTTCACGGATTTCTTGGATAGAGAAACGAAAGAAGGGAAAATCTCAAACAGCATGCAGAAGAAAGTCCTCGGTCAGCTGATTATTTTTTTCTTTTTTAAAGATTGAACGAATTTGAATTTAATTGATTTTTGTTTTCCTTTAGATATTGTCATTACATCCCTCTCAGACACACTGACACGCCACCCTGAGTTTGTTAACGTGGCAAAGGAAAGTCTCCGACTTACGCCTCCGCAGCATCTTAACCAAGGTAATATTAATTTAAAAACATTACTTCTAATTTGGTCATTACTAATCATACAACATGTATTTAGTACTAATTAAAATCATTAATTAGTTTTCCAGTTCTGTTTTACACAGGAAATTATGTTAAATAGTAATTTATTTATTTGTAGGGATCTCTGAAGGGCAGAATGGCATCCCGTTGAACTTCCCGTCAGACAGCTTTCCATTGAAGAATGCAGTCCGCAACGTCGGGAATCAGTTGGAAAAGAAATCAGATTAATCATTTATCGTTCTACCGACTCCAAATTTTATTTACAGTCCACGGTGCCCTCCCAGTTCTGTCGGATGTAACATTTTCTCTCCTGCCCAGTACTCTGGATAGACTGTCATGTACTCTTGTATCTTAAACCAATATACATAATCCTTTAAGTTAACATATATTTTATATGACCCTCGCTTGCAACTATCGAGACACAATTTACAATTTGCTTGATATTTATCAATGTATTCTAATAATTATTAATTAAAAAAATCATGTTTTCTATTAGTAGTGAGAGGATTATATAATAGGGGATTTCTATTCATTAAATGTTATTAATGTCTTCTATTAAAAGTAGAATCCTTTGTAAAAATTATAATCCATTGTATTGTTAACAGTTTCAGGGTAAGACCAATATCAAAAAGACCAAATTTAAATTATTTCCGGTATTTCAGATTTCAAAAATCATTTCATTTCCTAAAGTAAATTAAGTATGTGGTAATTTAACGCTAGTTTAAATTTAAAAAAAAAAAATTAATAATGTGCCGACAGTATATGGTTACCATTTGCTTTACCAGCTGGATAATTTTTGAAATATGGGGAGGTCGAAATATTAAGACAAGCCAAATTTATGTTGTAATTAATACAACATTTTAAAAGAGACCTGGGGCAGAAGTTAACTGCTTAAATTTTTTTTATTTTTTTATTTTATAAATAATTTGCATTACTTCTTGAAATATAATAAAATTGTACAAAAAACTTTAAAATTTTCATTTTATAAAAACAGTTTCAGATATGCAATTAATTATATAATCAACATATCCTTTAAGAAAAATCATACTGAATTATAAAACCTCATTAATAAATGAGAATTATCATTGACCTTTTACATTTAATTACATTATATGCAGTTGTTAAAGGCTTAATTGAGCAAAATATGATCGATTCTACATCAAAAGGTCAGCTGCCATGTTTAAAGAAGGGGCAATAATGTATGTAACGAAAGGCAATGAAAGAATTTCTGAGAGGAGAGTGTGTAAAGAAAGTGTAAGTAAATGAGAATATTATGTAGTTAAAATGTATATTTACAAAAAAAAGGTATATATTATGTTACAATATACAATTTGGAGAATATATTTTAAATTGTATAAAATTCGATATATGTAGAGTAGCCTTCCTTGAACTTAGTTCTGGTCGATGGCATCGCACAGCTTATACGGTAAGTAGAGATGATGGAGGAGGATATTTTGACAGAATTAATCCAACTGTCAAATTTACCTTATACGAATATAATTAATTTACACACAAAAAAAAATCTGTAAATATAAAACTTCCTACAAAATATTCTGTATCAACCATTTTGAATGGAATTTCAACACTTTTCTTGTCGTTGTATAAGATTGATTGCTGAAATGTGATTATAATGTTATTGAATATACAATTATGTTTTTTTTTAATATAACTATAAACTTTATTTAATAAAAGGGATAGCTATATATATGCAAAGTGGGAGGTTTAAAGGCCACAAACAACAGAGGTCATCACAGCCCTCTGCATGTTTTCCTTTTTTTTCTGTTCTTCACACATATTTTTCATCCTGCAGTCATTTGAGCATCTCGATCTGGTTACTGACTCTCTGCTTTTAAGTATGTACAATAATGGTACAATCCTAACCTCTCATTTATATCACATATTGACAAATACGGAATAAAAACAAAGCATAGAATAAATATCTATAAATCATCACAAACGACGAAGTCTGGTCACATTCACTCCCCCAATTTTCCTTTCTTTTTTTTTTATGACTGTATTTTTCCCCCCATTAAATTCTTGACTATTTCAATTGATGAAGCAGAATCAAAATCAAGTTTTTATATTAAATCTTTTATTTTGTAGAAATTCTAACATTAATATTCCACTGCCTCATACCCATCTTGTAACAACAGGTTGAGGAGGATAAATCTGGAGTTTTTTTTTATATACATTTTTTTTAAATTTTTTGAAAACTTTGAATTACAATGCTTAAATCAATCAAATTAATTAAGGTTTTTAGTTGAGATAAAAAAGTCAGTGTCTCGAGCGGGATTTGAACGCACAACCTTCGGCTTGATACGCCATTGAAAAATGGCAAAAAGGAGGGAAAATTCAAAAGGTGGAGTTGAGATGGGAAGTTATTACCCGAGTGGATCGAGGTCACGATAGCTCAGGTGGTAAGCAGCGGTGTATCTAGCCGAAGATCGTGGGTTCGAATCCCGCTCGTGACAATGACTTTTTTATCTCAACTAAAAACCTTAATTAATTGAATGATATTAATTGGTCAAGCAGACCATGAAAACTAGTGAGTTTAAATCAATGTTAAAAATCCCATAATATAGTAAAATATGCCATAAAAATGTGTAAAATGAAGAAAATGTATATTAAAATTTAATTTACACCAAAATATGTAAAAATATGAAATATTAACATTTTAAATTGTTTCAAAATGTCATAAATCATTAATAGTAAATTGTAATATAACCATATTTGCATTTTTCTAAATATGTGAACATAAAAAATCTGCTCCTTAATGAACAGATTGAGTAATGCTGGAAAAATCAAAGTTTGACACCATTTTAGGCTATTTTTGCACTAATTAATTTCTTGTATGTTGAATAAAAACACATAAAAATACCATTCTACTCATAAACATTTTTGAACTACAAATCAAAGCAAAAAATGATACACGTGTAGAATTAGTCTTATTGTTGGATAGTTGAGGACTCAGTGTCCCAGTCAAATATTTACAAGTTTTATCATTAACAATAACTCATCAAATTTCAAACAAAATCTTGCACAATTCACTGGGAGTTTGGAATATGAAGTGCTTCTATGATTGATTGGGAGCCTTATATAATTTAAACAAACCGAAATCTACGTATTAACTTTTTTTATTGAATATAAAAAACAAATTACTTATTATATATTGTCAAGAGAGAGAATATGCATTTTAAAACATTATGACGATTATATAATAATAACAAGAACAACAAAGTGTGTAACAAACAATTAGCAAATTGTTATTTATTAATTCAATAAAGAGGGGAGTTGGTGGCCACAATGGTTTAGGCATTGAAGCAGCACTCATCGCTGTAAGGTGAAGGTCCCGGGTTCGAATTCAGCAGCCCAAGTTGCAAAAAATGAAATAAAGAAACTCGGTCTGGATTAGCTGTATTTGAAAAGTGTCATGATTTTAAAAACATTTTTCAATTATATAACTACAAACAAAACTGTTAACAATGAACAGTCATAAAGGAATGTCTGCCAGGAATTCCCTCATTCAAGAATTTCAACGTAGTTTACAAACATTTTTTTTAATACGTACTACTATGGGGAAATACGAAACGTACTCAATCATTGAAATGTCATTTGTAAGGTGAGCGACTCAAGAGGATAAATAAAAAAATGAAGAGCCACTCAAAATCCCTGTTGTTTATATTTGGGTGAAATTTTCCAGATCGACATTCAGGGCAGTCTCACCAGTGACAAAAGTAAGTAAAAATATTTTGAATGGATTTAAGTTAGATAAATTTGAAATTTGTAAATCTAAAAAATAATTCATGTTAAGGATTAAATTATTTTTACAAAAATCTAAACTTTAATATAATACAATTTTACTACTAGCTCTTAAAATTAAGAAGATCTTTGATTGGTTGCTTTGATTTTCAGCAGTGCAATTTTATTTTTTGCACTGACATAAAAGTTTTTATAGTGAGTTGATATTGAGATATTTAAATTAATTCAACTTACTCTAAATTCTAATAAATTAATTTGACAAATATTCTTTTGGATTGTTATGAATTAATGTAATACCATTATGATACTATAAAATTTATACAAGACTGGAGATGGTGTGGTGTGTGCTGTGTATAGTGAGGGAGTGGCCACCTTCTGGTCGTGGCCCCCTCATGGCAGCATATGCACGCTCTTGAGGCGGTGCGGACCGAGGAGGGCTCGGCCTTCCTCGTATGTACGACTCTCTGAGTGCCGTCTGGGCACATGACAGGTTCTCTGTGGACCCTCTCATCGTGCTCTTGTTAGAGAAATACACAGAGTTGGAACCTCTCGGAAAAACGGTGGTTTTGTCTGGATCCCTGGAGGGTAACGAATGCGGCGAAAGCCGGTACGTCCCACCCTCCGGATCAGACCATCGCGATCAGGCCCCCTTATGCTAAACACATAGTAAAAAATATAATAAAAGAAAGATGGCAGCGTCAGTGGGCGGGATCATCGAAGAAGCTCTTGCGAGTCAAGAGCACGACTAGTAGATGGCCCTCAGAGAATCTGAGCAGGAGACGAGGGATCGTCCTCACGCGATTGATGATTGGCCATACTCGGTTGACACATGGGCACCTGCTTTTGGGCCAAAGCCCGCGCAGGTGCCCTTTATGCAGAGAAAGGTTGCTTGATGTGTCCCACATAATAGAGGCGTGTCATGCCTTGGCTCCATACAGAGAGCGTGTAGGCATGCCGCCGGACTTAAGAAGAGTTCTCGAGCACGGTAGCGAGTTTCAGTCCCCTGTTCCGCTTTTTAGGGGAAATTGTTTTTTTGTTTTTTTTATTGTATATAGTATGTCTTATGTGTTGTGTGTCTATATGTTTTGTCTGAGTGCATGTATTTATTAGCGTGAATGGCGAGGGGTGAGGGTGAGATATAACGTTATCATCGCCCCTCGAACGTTGAGAGCATATGAGTCTGTGTTCGGGGTCGATGGCGGAATATTTAAAAGAGTACTCCATCGACCAAACGGAATGTGTGTACTGTATGGATGTATTTATGTGTATGAATGTATTTATTTGTATGAATGTAGTGTTTAAAGGGTAAATAGAAAAAAAATATTATACTATAATACCATATTAATGTAAAGTATTATAAGATTGTGAGATTATTTAAGCTGAGGATGATTTAAGTTATGACTTTTTCTAAATGATTATAAATATTCTAATCTTTTTAATTATAGAAATGACAAAGTTTGCCATTTTAATTTTATTCGGAGTGATTGCGTTGGAGGCCTTGCCACACGATTTTTTTCTGGAAGAATGGACACAGTTCAAAGTAAGTGAAATATTATTTATTACATTGATTTTGTCATTCATTATGCTGTCTGTTGCTAGGAAGAGCACGGAAAAGTCTACAAG